ACCATTTTTCCATCTTAGTTTGTCCAAAAAATCTGTTTAAAATACCTACTATTTCATGTGACTTTTGGAGTTATTTTAAGCCTATTCTAAGTATTAATTGATGTGGTATAGGTTTTAACTTATGTCAAGCGCTTTGAATTCTTGAATTCCTTGCTCATTGTTAACTTACAAGACGAGGTAAATAAAATTATGGTAAATGCCCTTAGATTTTAAGGTAAAAGTTTTAAAGCATATTTTAAACTGTTTTTTTTTTTTTTTAAGTGGTGGTGGGATTAAACTCGTTTTACACAAAACGAGCATAATTGGTTTAAAATGAAATTATTATCATTTATTGATTTAAGCACGCCTACTTGAAGTTATTGAACTATTTTGATAACCTGAAATTGGTTTATAAATTATGGATTTTCTTGTAAATATTTCATGGTTTTGTCTCCATATGGTCATGATTACTGACGCCCGTTAGTGGGAGTTTGTAAACGCTATCACATGTTGACATGTATACCTGTAGGACCAATTCATTCTGTAATCCTGCCAGTGGGATAATACATTGGTTATTACTAATGCCTGCCAGTGGAGTTTGTTAAACACTAGCCATAATTAATTGAGAAGACCACAACTTAATTTTATTCTGCATTAATGGTTTATCACTGAGATATTTCTTCTATTTTATGTTTATCTAGCATGCTTTAACTTTAATTAAGGGCTATCCATATTTTTACTTACTGAGTTATCTAACAGAGTTTTTCCTTGTCCACCATTTCAGTTACTAAAACCAAAGATGTGGGAAAACCAAAGGAAGTGATGAGTTAGAAGGCTAGCCATTTGAATTCTAGATATAGATTTTGAGATATAGATCATTCTTTTGTATGCTATATTCTATTTTGAGTTTTTGATCTAAGTTTAAGTGGACTGTTAGTAATGAATTTAGCAAGTTTCGAGCCTTGTGCATTTGTTGGATCCTCTCACAAGTATACGGCATCTGTTTCGCCCTCGAATTTAGGTTTTGAGGCATGACAGATGGCTTTACATTTTGCAGTCGACTCTTGAGGAAAACAAAATATGCAGGAAACCTGCAAAGCCGGCTTTACATCTTGCAGCCAGCTCTTCAAGAAAAATAGAATGTGTAGGAAACCTACAAAGTTGGCTGTAGAACTCTAAGCTGGCTGTACAAAGTCAACTCTATACTTTAAGCCGGTTGTGCTGACAATTCTGCAATTTGAAATTACACGTCTTGCAGAGCATTAAATAACCCCCAATGGCTAGAAACGGCTATTTTCGAGCAAGGGGTTATAAATATGGTTGGTAATAGATCTAAAATAAGTTTAGAGAGCATTGTATTGAATATCTCTACCTACCAACTTGTGCTTTAACTTGAGTATTTAATCTTTAAGTGATTTTTGCTTGTAATCCTCTTCTTGTTCTATTTTGTGAATGATCTTAGGGATGTGATTATTCCTTCAAAAGTGATTTGTAGAGAAGATTGTTTGAGTTTATCTTGTAAAGGGGTGAGATTTGAGAGAAATACTTATCTTCTTGTAAAAGGATTGAGTGGCTCTTTTAAGCCACCCTTGTTCTTGATAGTGGAGAGTGTGGAGAAAATCCTTAGTGAGTGAAGCCAAGGTAGTGGACTAAGTTTCAAGTGGTTAGATCAAACCTCTATAAAATCATTGAGCAAGCTCTTCTTCCTTACTCTCTTTAATTCTTTGTTTTGTCGTTGCGAAGAGAAGGAAAATTTTGAACTCCAATTCACCCTCCTCTTGGAGTGCATTGAACCAACAGGATTATAGTGTCACTTTTTCAAAACTTAAAGAACTATTCTTTCCGTTAAATCTAATAGAAATTTTGTACCATAGACTATTTTGAAATATTCTCCAAAGTTTATAGATCACTTAGAAAGAAAAAAAACCTTTTTAGATAAAAAAAAATTAAACTGATAGTTAATAGACTAATAATTCAATTAACCCGTTTTGTAATATGTGTGGAACTCTTCATGGATTTTACTTTAATTTTAGCATTTTTCCTTTTTTTTTTTTTCGTTTTATAATGTCAATTGTTTTACAGCTCAGTCTATACTAAACTGCAAAATATTAACTATTTAATAATCTTTTCTCCAATAATAAGGAACCCTTTCTTATTGTAATGCCAGTGTTTTGTAGTCCCAATATAGTTTAAACTACAAAACACTTTTTCTTTTTCTTTTTTCTTTTTTCTTTTTTTTTTTAAATTGTAAAAGGAAACAACATATATGCAAGACATGTTGGTACCTAGACGATTCCCTTTATATATATATGTATATGTATATATATATATATATGAGGATAACATGTATCAATTCTAACTACTAAAAAAATTAAGGTTAAATGCTTAATTTGATCCCTTAACTTTAAGAAATGAACATTTTTGGTCCCTTAACAATTTTTTACACTTTTTTGATCCCTCAACTATACGAAATGCACTCCGTTAGTCCTTCTGTTAATTTGGACTGTTAACCTTGCTTAAATGGCATTTTTTATATTTTTTTTGATGATGTGGAAAGAAAAACTTAAAAAAGTGATGATATGCATCAAAATTTTGCCATTTCACATACTACCTGGCAAAAACGCACCAAATCCATGCAAATGGGTCCCACATCACCACTAATAATTGCTTATTTGCGCATCGGCTATGAAGTTCGACAGAACCCAGCAGATCTGGGTTCGATGTAACCCAGCAAATAGGTTCCATCGAACCCAGCTCGATTCACTTAACTCAATTGTCCAAAAATTCCTCGCAACAACCTGCAATTTGAATAATCTCTTGGCAAACAAT